TTTTTTTTTTTTTTTTTTTTTTTTTTTTTTTTTTTTTTTTGTTAATCAATACAAAAATTGAGCTAGTTTGGAACGTGAATTAAAGAGATCGGATACGGAAACAAAATAAATGTTCGACCTAAAGAATAACATATGATTTTGTTCGGTTCGTGGTAAGTGTAATTTGACTCAAAAGTCGTAGATATGTTCTTTGTTATACGTTTCTAAAGAGAGGGAAATGTTTTGTTCGGGATCTTAACAAGTTTTGTTGTGTACTCGGGTTGTGAGATCTCACATTGGTTGGAGAGGGGAACGAAACATTTCTTATAAGGGTATAAAAATCTTTCTCCAATTGATGCGTTTTAGAAAGCTTGAGGGGAAATCCGAGAGGGAAACTAAAAGAGGACAATATTTGCTAGTGTTGGGCTTTGGTCATTACACGGTCAGTTTTAATTTTTGTGACGTAGTGTTTATAAATTAATAACACACAGAAGTGTATAGTTTATGTAGCTCCCCGTGCACTCTCCTGCAAGTCCCGAACCACACCCCTACCAAAAAAGTTCTGATTCGAGCTAAACATGCTTGACCGACCGTATTCAATTTTATTTTAAAATTAAAAAATTTATTAGATATAAAATTGAAAAATAAAAAATTTATTCATCTCAAAATCGTCTTTTAAAGTCTTGTTAGACAGTTAAAATTTTAAATGTAAAATTAAAAGTTTAGACACTTATTAGACATTTTTCAAGATTGAAATTGTGTTATTTGTTTTTTAAAAAAATTATTTCACTAAATAAGAATTATAATTAATTTAACCCGAGGGAAATTTTTTATTTCTCCATTTTGCCCTTACAAATTTTTAAATACCCTACAATTTTTGTAGACAAGATTCGACTTTTCGAATAGAGGTGTCCATGAAACATACGGTCGAATAGTTGCAATTTGTACCCACGACTGTTTGAATAGAGGTGGTTGCACATTGAACCGACGTGTCCATTTGAAGAGATTTTTTGCTTTCCTCTTTTGCCCTTACAATTTTAATAAATTCCTCTTTTACCCTTCGTTTTTTTTGTTGACAAGACGTGACTTTTCGAATTGAAACACCCATGAAAAGAATGGACGTATAGTCTCAATTCGTACCGATGGTCACAGCGGCTCAAACGAGAGTGATAGTTGTGAAACGGTATTTGCCTTTTAAACTCGTTTCTTTTACATCCTTATCGTGTTAGTGCACGGTCAAAATTTCTCGAGCATTGCAACCTCCATATGTTTTCATAAATTCATTTTCTCGAGGTTCGATCGAGTTTCTTCGATGTTGTTTCCATTTAAACTTAGAACCAATTTTATTTAACGATTAGGCTTTTGGTATAAAATGGAAATATAGCTAAACTTGGGGGGTTAAAACGTAAAATTTTGTTCATAAATTGTTTTTAAGGAAGGCCCAATAACAGCTCATCCAGGCCCAAAACAGTTGAAGAGTTTGGATAACGACGCTAAAAAAAACAAACATTCTTTTGAAGATAACCTATGAAGTGTCGATTGACGGTTTTCGTTTAGAGTAATTACTATGGTTAAAACTCCACTCACGTTTATGATTAGAATATAATAAGGAATCTTTCGTTCCCCTCTTTAACCGATATGGGATCTCAAAAATCCACTTTCCTTGGGGGACTAGCGTCCTCGCTGGCACACCGCTCGGTGCCTGACTCTGATACTATTTGTAACAGTCCAAACCTACCGCTAGTAGATATTGTCCGCTTTAGCTTGTTACATATCGTCGTCAGTCTCACGAGTTTAAAACGCGTCTACTAAGGAGAGGTTTCCACACTCTTATATAGAATGTTTCATTCTCCTCTCCAATTGATGTGGAATCTCACACTATCAACAGTAGACATGTCTAATTAAAGACATTGGTCCATATAGATATCATTGCAGTTGGTAGACACGATGTTGCTCCCCTCGCGACTGTGATTGGGAGTCACCAACTAATCTATGATAATGAACGGTCTAGATTGACATAGCCCGTATATATCTCAAAGTTGGATCAGTTTCAAGGTCGGGCCTCAAATGTTCAAAATGATTTTTATGTGATAACAAAGAACAATAAATAGCCTACCTAAGTATGACGTTTGATTAATCATGTAAGGTTTAAACATGATTATGATTAACTATCTATGGTATCGATTTGTTATTCATTATCCACTGTGTCACGATTGTCGTTTATGTGCCTATGTTTAGGGGTGTACATTCAATCGGACAACTGATAACCTGGACCAATCCAACCCAAACTATAAGGGTTAGTGGGTTGGATTGGGTTGGATTAGATTTTCGAGTTGGTTTGGGTTCTGAACTCGAACTGACTTAGTTCAGTTTCGGAGTCATGGGACAAAACCCTCGAATTAACTCGAGCCAAATAAAAATATATAAAATATACTAAGAAGTTTTCACTGATGGTGGGTTTGTCAGAGTGGTACTTTGTCAACTTAAAACACTCGCACCCCAATAATTATTTTTATGTAAGATTGTATCAGAATAATTATAAATTTGTGGGTAAATAAATTTTTTTTAAAAAATAATTTTTTTTAAAAAATAATTTTTTTTTAACAACCCGAACCCAACCCAACCTGAAGATAAAGGGTTGAGTTGGGTTGGGTTACCAATCTAACCAACCCGAACTTTTCGGTTGGGTCAAAAAAATCCCTCAACCCAACTCAACCTGGACCATGTACACCCGAACTTATGAGATACTAGAAGGTTTTTTAACTGCCTCTACGGGTGAATGAATTATTTATGGTTAACCCACATATGTATTCTAGTTGGTACGAACGAAGTGTAATTCTTCTCACGTTTTAGTTATATATATATATCACAACATGTTACGATGTACTATGTTGGAACTCTAGAGGGTTGCTAACCACGTTAGAAGCGAGGTAGTCATTTCGCATATGTAATTCAATACTCTCTATAATAACAATATTTTAATAGACGTGTACACGGATTAAGTTGGGTTGATTAAATCTTTTGGACCAACCTGAAAATGGGTCGGTGACCCGAGCAAACCAAATAGAGTTTACAACCTAACCTTCTATTTTCGAGTTGGGTTGTCAGGTTGTACTTTTTTTAATATCTACAAAAAAAAAAAAAAAAAAAAA